AATATATTTTTTCTAGAGAACCTTAGGCGTGGATTTTTTAAAAAAATATTTTTCCAAGAGATCCATTGGCGTGGATTTTTAAAAAAAAATATATTTTCTAGAGAATAGGCTTGGATTTTAAAAAAAATATTTTTTCAAGAGATCCATCGGTGTGGATTTTTGAAAAAAAATATATTTTGTCAAGAGATCCATAGGCGTGGATTTTTAAAATTTTTTTTTTTTGAAGGAGGGCCTAAGGTGTGGAATTTTTAAAAAGTATTTTTTCAAAAGAACCATAGGCGTGGATTTTTAAAAAATATTTTTAACAAGAGATCCATAGGCGCAGATTTTTAATTTTTTTTCAACAGAACGTTAGGCGTGGATTTTTAAAAAATATATTTTTTCAAGAGGACGTTAGGCATGGATTTTGAAAAAAAAAAACATTTTCAAGAGAACCTTAGGCGTGGACTTTGAAAAAAATATTTTTAACAAGAGATCCATAGGCGCAGATTTTTAATTTTTTTCAACAGAACGTTAGGCGTGGATTTTTAAAAAATATATTTTTTCAAGAGGACGTTAGGCATGGATTTTGAAAAAAAAAAACATTTTCAAGAGAACCTTAGGCGTGGACTTTGAAAAAAATATATTTTTTCAAGAGGACGTTAGGCATGGATTTTGAAAAAAAAAAAAAACATTTTCAAGAGAACCTTAGGCGTGGACTTTGAAAAAAATATTTTTTTTAGAGAACCTGAGGCGTTGATATTGATTGATTCAAAAAAATATTTTATCAAGAGAAACTTATTTGTGTACTTTTAAAAAATATTTTTTTTAAGAAAACCTTATTTTAGAATTAGTTTCAAGGACCAACAGAACCTAGAGCGTAGATGTTCAAACAATAATATTTAATGGACCTACAAAATCTTAGTTGTTGAATTCATGAAAGGTTTTTAAGGACACGCAGGACCTGAAGCGTAGATAGTCAAACATTTTTTTCAGGACGAAAAAAAATCTTCGGCGTGGATTTCAGCGAGCTTAATAAGGACGCACAGGACTTTAAGCGTAAAAACTTGATTAAGGCACTTTTGTTCTTTAAAAAAAAAAACTATTTTAAAAATCCACCCTGTTCGGACTGAAAATGTATGAAAATTTTTAAAAAGACAGCCCCGCTGTTGTTCTGTAAAAAATTGCCCTTTGTCCTTGGAAATAATATCCAAAATCCAAACATTTTTTTTTAATTCTACGAAAAATTGTTCAATTTTTTTTTCAATTCTACCTTGTTGGTCCTTCACAACCTGTTTTATTGCCCCTAAAAATATTTCCAAAAATCCATTCTTAAGGCATTGTATTGGCCATTAAAAATTTTTCTAGAAATCCTCGCTGAAGGCGATGTGTTTCTAAATATTTTCCAATTGGATATTAAAAAATGTTTTTAGAAATCCACTCTGTTGGTCCTTGAAAAAGAGCTCTTTGGACCTTAATAACATATTTTTAAAAATCCAAAATAAAGGAAAATCCGTCAGGGGTTTCGTAGGTCTTTTATGGATATAATACCCTATTCTTAATTTTTACAAACATTAGAATATCTTTCAAAAGACCAAAATTCCTTTACAAGTCTTCCATGGACACAAGGGGTTTAATAGTCCGTATGTAGACAGAAGACCATTTATAGACCCTCGAATACCGAAAATCATTTTTTGATAGATCGGTGATTTTTACAGGCCTTCTATACACATAAGGTCTTTCAGATGTCTTCAAGAAACGCAAGGGCTTTTGCAGTTCATTTTTATTTTAACAAATATCTCATAGGAACTCTTTACACCGGAGACCGTTTACAGGTCTTCAAAATTTGATGTCCTTTTAAATGGATTTTACTGATTGATTGAAAGGGTATCTTTCAAAGTCTGTCTGTGGTCCATTTTGGACTTTTTGTAGATAGAAGATCCTGGGAAGACCGTCTACAGAGAGAATAGGACTATAGATGACCCTTCAATGGTATTCTCTATACAGAATATCTTCCTATTGACATAACTCATTCCTTCCGTATACAGTTGTCCTATAACAGATCTTCCATTGAAGCAGGATTTCTGTCGATCTTTTTATATTTAATAGGATTCCATAAACAGAAAAAAATTTCCAAATTTCCTATTTTTCCATAGGTAGAACACTTTTCCTTTTTCTTCCTCTCCTTAGATTTGTTCATGTTTTTCATTTTGTGCTCTGCTTATATTTCTTTCTCTCTTTCCATGGAAGATGTTGGGTTATTACGAATTTTCCATGCCCGATGTCGAAATAGATTTGCTTAGGACTAAACCAATTTAAATTTAAATTTTACAGAAACGAAACCTTTTACGCATTTTGATGTTGCCTACGGCCTAGGAATTTAAATGTATTTGTCTGGTGGATGACGATTGTGAGTGTAAGTGGTTAGGAGTATTGTCAGCTAAGGAGGAGGAGTGGGGGGGGGGGTTTAAGTAAAGTGTTCGTTTTTTTTCTAAACTTTTCAAATTATGTACTTAACCGAGAGTGTTCAAATGGTTGGTGTTTTTTTTTTTTTTTGAGAGAGAGAGAGCGAATTTTGTTGATGTCCTTGCGAAGCAATGCGCCGAGCTTGAAGAGGGATGTGATTGAATATGCTTTGTAGTAGTTAGACCCCATTTCAAAATTGAACAAAATTGTGATTATGCATAAGTGATGAGCGGAAGGCGGGAAAAAGCGAGAGAGCAAGGGGCCAAAGACATGACATGGCGCGGAAAATGTGGTTCTGGTTAAATTTACAAAAAACGACAACTGTCGAGGGGAGTAGTTTATTTTTAGCACCATTGAACATTTTGCCATAGTTTTTCCTCGTTTTATTTGGAATTTGTTATTCCCTCTTTTTGTTAGTCATTAAGCAATGATGGTGTTGTTGTTGCTGCTATTTTGTTTTTTTTTTCACAGCTAAGATGAGCTTTGATTTATTCAAAAAAAATCCATTTTCCCCTCCTAACCATCACGGCATCTATGTAACTGTCTATCTCTTTGGGATCTGTAGCAAGCTGTTCGGGGGAGTATGTGTGAAGGTGTGTATGTGTCTGTTGGCAGTTGGCACATGTTTGGCAAAAGTTGTTCAAGTCATTCATCAAATCGTTATTGGAAAATGTTTCGGAAAAAAAGAAACTCACTCACACACCTACACCCATACACACACACATGGAGACACCGTTACCTACTGACAGCCAATATTTTATGTTTCTATTTTCTCACATGAATGGCTGAATGAATGACTGACTGCCTGGCTGACTAGCTGACTGACTGGTACTTGACAACCAACCAACAGCAACGAATTTCCAGATTTGTTATTCCACTCTATTAGAGAGTTACTTTTCCAATGACATGAGTCGAATAGTGGGCGTTTACATAGTTGTTGTTGTTGTTGCTGCTGTTCGCTTTTAGGGCTTCCTTTGAAAATGGGGCTTTTGGCGTTATTTAAGCCCAAAAAAAAAAGGCAATCATAAAAATTATTCGGAATGCATAAAGAAAAGGATGATTCTCAGATTTGTCTAAGAAGAAAGAAAACGTGTTGGTGAAACGAAGAAGAAAAAATGCAATAATCCTTCTTACATCAGCATTGAAAAGGAAGAACTTCTTATAAAGCGGCAGACAGAATTCAATTGAATAAATAATTCAAGGGATTTTTTTGCACTCCGGGGGGGAGTGGGTCTTATGAAATCAATAAAAAAATATGAATTATATTAATGAGAGTTTTTTCTTCGCGCCATTGGAGGATATTAAAAAAGGATCTGAACGGAAAATAAAGTGTAAATGATTTTCCAATAAGTTATTATCTGAAATTATATTAAATTTCGGGGTAAAGCATAAGGGGAATTGGAAAGTAAATACATATTTCAATATAAAGAAGAAGAAGAAGTGGTTTTAAAGACCTTGGAAAAATATTTTCTAATTTTTTTCCCAATTTTTTTTAAAAATCCTAGCTAAAAACAATAGAAAACCAGTAAAGAAAGTCTTAAAGTCGGGTGAGGCCGAATTTATGATACCCTAAGCCATTTTGCTAATTTAGTAGATCTCCACATAATAATTAAAAGTTTTTATGGGAGAATTAAATCATAAACGCTATGATTATAATTATAATTTAAAGTTCAAAGGATTAAATATGCCGAATCATTTGTATCTTTTAAATTCGAACGTATAAAGATATATATGGGAGCTATATCCAAATCTGAACCGATCTCGATAAAATTTGGCAAAGATATTTCTGGGCTGTATTTGATATATTTCCCTGAATATCGTTGTTACGGAGTGCATATTACGGTTGTGGGTAACAAATATGACAAATCGGATGAACAATATATGTGGGAGTGTTCACGGATAAGTGAACATGTTTTTATAATAAAAGAGAATAGCGGGGCTACCTAGTGTAGATGAGAGGGATTTGTTAAACTGGGATCTTCTTAATACAGTCCACATGAAATAAGATAAGAAAATGTGGTGAGCAGACCTTCGAGTTAGAAATAAATAATACAGAATTTTCAATTGCTGCATGTGTTATGGTGGAGTTAGATTATGGGATGTAATCTTTACTCAGACTGATAAGCAAGTGCAGCATGTTTGCTTGCCACATGTGAGATAGCTATGCGTGTGTATGACCTCCCCCTAAGGTTTATGGTGGCATGGTGCATATGCATGTGTACGGTTGGTATCTATCTCTCTCTCTCTCATTTACACTTAGTTATAATTTAGGTTAAGTCATATTATCACAACTAGTTCTTAAGAAATGTTTTTAATAAATAAATTCAGTGTCTTACAAACGCTCAAACGGAAAAGACGTTTGGTCTTTTAAATGATCCCAATTTTACATTGGTCCTTCGAGCCGGATAGGTAGAGGATAAATGTTGAAGAATTTGCCTTAACATCGAGGAAATTCTGTCAGGCTAAAATTGGTCTTCAAGAGTGGAAAATTACCGAGCTAAAACTACAGCTGGAATTGTTCCCATACAGAAGAGATTTATAAGCCAAATAAAAGGATGCTGAGTCAGATGGAGACTTCAGCACAGAAGACTGTGGTGGCGGTGCACACCGAGGGGGCTTCATATTTGAAATCTTCAGACAGAAGGGGTGATGCATATGCCCAGGAAGACGAATCGGTGAAACGGCCGCCAATGATGAAAATAAAGGAAAAGGCTGCCACTCTTCTCGAAATGATGGGTACAATTATGGAAATAATGAGTACCTTAAAGACGGAAGAAGCCATAGAAGGCGTATTTGACTTCGCCAAAGAAAAAATTATGGACGCGGCAAGAGACATAATATTGTATCCAGACGTTCATAGGCGATTTTTAGAGATGCTTCTAAAGAAGTCCAAACTAGCCGCTGCTATCAGAGCAAGTCAGCCGAATGGGACAGCGAGGCTGTATTTGGAAGATGTTAAGATCATCTTTAAAGTCACGCAGGCTCTTAATGTGGAGGCCAAAGAGAAAGTCCTTGGCTTGAAGAAACAAGTGGCCTGCATAACATCCAAATTGGACGTCGAGCGAGAGGGGCGCGAAGCAGCGGTAGCCGCAATGAGAAAAATGGAAGGTGATATGAAGGAAATGGAGTTTGCCTTGATTTTACAGAAAGATGAAAAGGAAGATGCCCTCAAACTTGTCTCGAATTTGAAAGAGGAATTCGAAAATGCTGTGTGTGTAGCCGAGGATACAAAGGACAAATTACGAGCGGCTAACCAGGAGGCAGAACGCGAGGGCAAGGCGTTGAAGGCGGTAATAAGACAACTTAGTGATGAGTTGTCTTGTGCAAAAAGAGAACGACTTGCAGCTGCAACCGAACGTGACGGGTTGGCTGCAAATCTTGAAGCTGGTGAAGAAAAAGAAAGAAGGATATTTCAGCTGGAGGCTGAAATATTGCAACTTAAGGAAGTGTTGTTCATATCGCAGAAAGCATCCAAAATCGAGGCTGATGAATTGGCTGCAAAATTAGTGGTCAATATCAACGAAGATATGATGGTTGAAGAGGTTTATATGGAAGACCCAATTGCCGAAAGAGAATCAACTTTTGAAAAGGTAGATGAACAGCTCCCTGGAAAACTGGACACAGGGAGATTGGAAGAAGTCGAAGATAAGCTATTTGCCAGCGAGATGAAAACTAAGAAGAAAAGCAATCTGCGTCGCTGGAATAATAAGATGCTAGAAGACGGTCAAGTTGTGATCAAGATGTCTAGTGGAAGTGGTGCAGCGAATAAAATACAAGCCGGTGTGACAGAAAATTATGAACACTGGAACGATAAACTGTCCAAAGTCGGTAAGATGGCGCTGCCAGAGAAGGATGAGAACTTTGGTCACAGAAAGAAAACAACACATAAAATGGATTCAGCCTGGAAATTGAAGCCGGCAGATAAAGGAGGTGGGATGTTCAAGAGAAACAGGCTGGAAAGATGGAGGAGTTACTTGGGTGTTATAACTTAACTTCTTTTCTCTTAAAATGTCACTTCTATTAGATCTATTTTATTGTTCATATTTGTAATTTTTATATTTTATATGTATTTTTGCCCCTGCCAAGAATGTTCACGGATAAGTGAACATGTTTTTATAATAAAAGAGAATAGCGGGGCTACCTAGTGTAGATGAGAGGGATTTGTTAAACTGGGATCTTCTTAATACAGTCCACATGAAATAAGATAAGAAAATGTGGTGAGCAGACCTTCGAGTTAGAAATAAATAATACAGAATTTTCAATTGCTGCATGTGTTATGGTGGAGTTAGATTATGGGATGTAATCTTTACTCAGACTGATAAGCAAGTGCAGCATGTTTGCTTGCCACATGTGAGATAGCTATGCGTGTGTATGACCTCCCCCTAAGGTTTATGGTGGCATGGTGCATATGCATGTGTACGGTTGGTATCTATCTCTCTCTCTCTCTCTCATTTACACTTAGTTATAATTTAGGTTAAGTCATATTATCACAACTAGTTCTTAAGAAATGTTTTTAATAAATAAATTCAGTGTCTTACAAACGCTCAAACGGAAAAGACGTTTGGTCTTTTAATTGATCCCAATTTACAGGGAGCTATAGCTATATCTGAACCGATCTTCACCAAATTTGACATACTAACTTCTAGACTCGTTTCGGTCGTAAGTGCCAAATTCCATTCCATTTGGACAAATATTAGACGTTTGGTGCACAATAAAAGATAAATCGGACGAAGTTATATATGGGAGCTATATCCAAATCTGAACCGATCTCGATAAAATTTGGTAAAAATATTTCTGAGCTGTGTTTGCTAAATTTCCCCTAATATTGTTGTTACAGAGTGCATATTACGGCTGCGGAGGACAAAAATAACAAATCGGAAGAACAATATATCTGGGAGCTATAGCTATATCTGAACCGATTTCGATCAAATTTGGCATACTTATCTACAGGCCTAATTTGGTTATATGTGCAAAATTCCATACTATTCGGCTTGATATTACACGTTTGGTGCACAATAAAAAGCAAATCGGACGAAGATTTATATGGGAGCTATATCTAAATTTTTACCGATTATCTCCAATTTTAATAGGGTTCGTCCTTGGGCCAAACGAATGATCTGTGCAAAATTTCATATGGATAGACCAATAAATACGAACTGTAGTTTGTTTACATAAATACATGGACGGACAGACGGACGGACATGCATAAATCGACTCAGAATGTGATTTTATGCAGATCATCAAAAGGAACTATGGGTCTATCTCGTTTTCTTTTGCCTGTTACAAACAAATGCACAAAGACATAATACCCTGACCACCTTGTGGTGTAGGGTATAATTACGAGTGGGGTTCTCTTGATCTTCAACCATGATCTTGAAAAAATCGCAATTTAGCCTCAGTAAATTCCTGAAAAATACCTGTCAAATTCTCGATTAGAACTATAGTTTTGGCTGGTCTTTAAAAAAGGCGCCTTTAAAAATTAACGAATTAATCTTTAATTTTCAAGATTTTCTGAAAAAAAATATTTTAAAAAAATATTTGATTTTCAAAAAACTCAAGCCCACAAGTCTTTGTTTCTGGAAAAAATATTCTTAAGGACACTTTTCCCTCATTCCTAAAATTCCACCAAGGAAAAAATTTGTTAAACCCACGCTTAAATCCACCTCCATCAAGCTTAAATCCGCGTGCACGTCCACGTCCAATAAGCCATTGGTTGGTGACAAAAAATATTCCTAAAATTCCAGTTTAAGGTTCTGTTGATGATCCAATGTCATTGAATATTTTTTCTTTGGTCCTAGAAAAATATTAAACATCCGAGGTCCTTAAATAGTTTTTCTTTGGTCCTTGAAAATTTTTTTTTTTAGAAAAACACGCCTAGGGCTCATTGATCCTGAAAAATGTGTTTTTTTATTTTAAATTCACGCCTAGTTGCTCCTGGAAAATTTTTTCTTTCTAGGACCTATTAATTCTGAAAAATATTTACATAAAAAACTGGGAAAATAGGACTTATTGGTCCTAGAAAAAAATCCACCATTGGTGCTTAGAAAAATATTAAAAAAAAATTCATTAAAAATATATTTTCTAAAAAGTGCAGCTTAGAGATCGGTTTCTCTTGGAAAAATGTTCTATTGGTCCTTGAAAAATATTTTTAAAAATCCAAATTTTAGGCTCTGTTAATCTTTTTTCTTGGGTTCTTAAAATAATATATATAACATACAGGCTTAAGGGTATGCTGTTAATTGAAGATTTTTTTCTTGATCCCTGAAAAAACATTAATAAATGTATACTCTCCATATAATTATTTAAAAGCACGATAAAATCAATGTCCTTGAATATTTCTTTAGGTTCTTGAAGACATACTTTTTTTTAAAGAAAACACGTATGAAGATTCTTGAAAAAGTAATCCTTAAAAAATCCTTGTTTCTGTTGATTATCTTTTCTTATACCCTTAGCCATATGTCTACAGAAGGCAAAAACGTGCCTCATGGAAAACGTGCCTCATTTGGAGTCGATCTAGAGATGTCCGCCCGTCCATCCGTCTATCTGACTGGTGCACACGATAACTCTCGAAGGGAGTGTCCGATTCGGTCCAAAATTGGTACATCGTAATGTTATGGTCAAACTCAGACCTTGGACATTCCGCAGAGCAACATTCGGGCAGCATGTGACGGTTTCATTGGCCGTTTGAAGGCCATTATTCGTGTCAAAGGTGACCAATTCGAAAAAATCTAAACTTATTCTAAAATTTGATGCTATTTCCGACATTTTTTGCTTTCATTCAATAAAGTTAAAGAAAAAAATGTAAAAATTATGGAATTTGATTTTGTTGCAGTTTTTTTATCTCACCCTATATTGGGCTGATGCCCCTGGAAAAAAAAAACTAAAGGTAACATCTGGGCAGTGCTCATTTCAAAATACAAAATCTTCAAATATGGCTTTGGACATAAGGGTTCTTCCAACATATTGTAGTGTTGTAGGGTAGGGCCCGCACGACTAAGTCTTTGCTTTTTTTTGACCAAATCTGTTGGTCTTTGGAAAAAAATATTTTTAAATAGTTCACGTTATTAGAAAACAAGTAAAAAAACATTAAGTTCGGCCGGGCCAAACTTTTAGTACCCTCCACCTTAGGGTAAAGGAAACATTAGAAGAAATGTGGCAAAAACCATTGAAATGCCGAATATCGGGAGGTACCGTTATATGGGGGCTATACCAATTCATATACCCATACATGCAATGTTTCGCCACCGGAACTGGAACACATTATGACCTACAAATACCAATATTCAGACAATTTCGTGAAAAAATGTGGCAAAAATCATCAAATTACCGAATATCGGGAGGTACCTTTATATGGGGGCTATACCAAAACGTGGACCTATACATGAAATGTTCTGCCACATGCACAGGGACCCGTTATGACCTACAAATACCAATTTTCAGACAAATCCATGAAAAAATGTGGCATAAATCATCAAAATACCGAATATCGGGAGGTACCGTTATATGGGGACTCTACCAGAACATGGACCGATATATCTCATTTTCATGAATTTATATACTTTATGATTATGAATTTATATACTTGATGGGGTCTACGACGAATATTTAAGGATGTTACAAACGGAATGACAAAGTTAATATACCCTCCTTTCCAAGGTGGAGGGTATAAAAACGTTTCCCAAAAAAACAGGGTTGTGGCTTAAAGGCTCATGATTTTTTTTAAATGTCTAAGTTAGGTCTATTGGCACCTTAAAAAAATAATAATTGAAGATACCCTCTTAAGGTCCTTCAAGCCCTTCAAAATTTCATATTTTGTGATAAGTCATAGTTGTAGCTCCGAGTTGCTGTTTAAAAAAATCCAAAAATTTCGTTTTAGGAGAGTTTTTATTTATTTTTTCACCCCCACATATGTGGGTCAGTTAATCCTAATCCATATATGTGGCTCTGTTGGTCCTTGAGTAAGTATCCTTGAAAAAATATTGCCTATAAAACCCAAGTCTTTATAAATACCCTGAACATCATAAATATCCAGAACATTTACATGATTGATATTCTAGCTGCACCATAAAGAGGGCTACCCTTGTGGGTCACACATATGCCCATCTTTGCTCATCTGACTAATAGCTTTCTCTTGTAATTTGGAAATATAAATATTTGTGCAGAATTTTCCTTTGAGATTTGCCAGTAAATCCCAGAAATAATTTTGATCGATATGAAGGAGAGCTTCGAATATCTATTCTAATTAAAGAAATAAAATTAACAATTAAATTGGCCAAGCTCTTGTGAGACAGATCTTATGGTTTGTACACACACACAATCAAATTACAATTTTTGGTTAGATATACAGTGGCGGAGAGAGGAGGGAGAGGGGGGTATGGCTACTTCTTTAGTACCACTCTCATCAACATGGCTGGTTATGGCTACAATCTGTGAAACCAATTCGTGTTGGGGAAGAAATTTCAATTTATTTGGGGGGAAGAAAGGAGTAGCTAATCCACTCCTCATTCGACCTCTCCATGTCCTTAAATATTATTGAAAAGGAGCTTAGTATTTCGCAGTTGTTGTTGTTTTTTTTTGGTTTCGTTTCATATGAAACTTCAAAACGTCGATATTAGAAAAAGGGTCATTGTCAGTTCGTTTTTTTTTTTCTGTTTCCTCGTTTGCTTTCGCTTGTGTGTTCGGTTATTATCCTTGTGCTAAGGATGCCATAAATCATAGTAATGGCATCATTTAATGTACATAAATGAAAGTCGTTAAGTGTTTTCCATGTAAAGGAAATACAATTAACTTAAAGCCATAAAAGGCAATCATTTAACATGCAGCACCTGGACAATAAAACGAGGCCATAATTCAAAATTCCACACACATACGCAGCAAGCATGCATGTGTGAGTAAGTTGGAACTCGATTGAAAGCCTCAACATCTTTTTTTTGGTTTTTTGTAATGCAAACAGGAAAATTGTAAATATAAGTTGAAAAGAAACAAGTAAAAAAAGCTGTAAGTTCGGCCGGGCCGAACTTTGAATACCCTCCACCATTTGGAACGACATTGACACGAATTTGAACTGCACAGACAATTTTCAGTCTTAGGTTATAGTATCCACTACGAACATCAAATTCTAAATTGGAAAGAATTCCGGTGAAAAATATCGCTAAAATCATCAAAATACCGAATATCGGGAGGTACAGTCATATGGGGCCTATACGAAGACCTGGACTGGCATAGACAATTTTCTGTCTTAGGCTATAGTATCCACTATGAACTTCAAATACCAAATTTGAAAAAATTCTGATGAATATTGTCACAAAAATAATCAAAATACCGAATATCGGGAGGTACTGTTATATGGTGGCTATACGAAGACGTGGACCTGCACAGACAATTTTCTGTCATAGGCTGTAGTATCCACTACGAACATCAAATACCAAATTTGAAACAATTCGGGTTAACAATGTCGCTAAAATCATAAAAATACCGAATATCGGGAGGTACCGTTATATGGGGGCTATACGAAGACGTGGACCTGCACAGACAATTTTCTGTCTTAGACTGTAGTATTCACTACGAACTTCAAATACCAAATTTGAAACAATTCCAATGAATATTGTCGCCGAAATCATCAAAATACCGAATATCGGGAGGTACCCTTATATGGGGGCTATACGAAGACCTGCAAAGACAATTTTCCGTCACAGACTGTTATTTCCATTACGAACTCTAAATACGTAATTTGAAACAATTTCGTTAAATAATGACTCTAAAATCTTCAAAATACCGAATTTTGGGAGGTACCCTTATATGGGGGGCTATACGAAGACATGGACCTGCACAGACAATTTTCTGTCATAGACTGTAGTATTTACTACGAACTTCAAATACCAAATTTAAAAGAATTCCAGAGAAAAATATCGCTAAAATCATCAAAATACCGAATATCGGAAGGTACAGTTATATGGGGGCTATACGAAGACGAGGACCTCCACAAACAATTTTCTGTCATAGGCTATAGTATCCACTACGAACTTCAAGTACCAAATTTGAAGCAATTCCGGAGAAAAATATCGCTAACATCATCAAAATACCGAATATCGGCAGGTACCCTTATATGGGGGCTATACGAAGACGTAGACCTGCAAAGGCAATTTTCTGTCATAGGCTGTAATATCCACTGCGAACATCAAATACCAAATTTTAAACAATTCCAATGAATATTGTCGCCGAAATCATCAAAATACCGAATATCGGGAGGTACCCTTATATGGGGGCTATACGAAGACGTGTAACTACACAGACAAATTTTTTTCATAGGCTGTAGTATCTACTACGAACTTCAAATATCAAATTTGAAAGAATTCCGTTGAATAATGTCGCTAAAATCAACAATGTACCGAATATCGGGAGGTACAGTCATATGGGGCCTATACGAAGACCTGGACTGGCACAGACAATTTTCTGTCTTAGGCTATAGTATCCACTACGAACTTCAAATACCAAATTTGAAAAAATTCTGATGAATATTGTCACAAAAATAATCAAAATACCGAATATCGGGAGGTACTGTTATATGGTGGCTATACGAAGACGTGGACCTGCACAGACAATTTTCTGTCATAGGCTGTAGTATCCACTACGAACATCAAATACCAAATTTGAAACAATTCGGGTTAACAATGTCGCTAAAATCATAAAAATACCGAATATCGGGAGGTACCGTTATATGGGGGCTATACGAAGACGTGGACCTGCACAGACAATTTTCTGTCTTAGACTGTAGTATTCACTACGAACTTCAAATACCAAATTTGAAACAATTCCAATGAATATTGTCGCCGAAATCATCAAAATACCGAATATCGGGAGGTACCCTTATATGGGGGCTATACGAAGACCTGCAAAGACAATTTTCCGTCACAGACTGTTATTTCCATTACGAACTCTAAATACGTAATTTGAAACAATTTCGTTAAATAATGACTCTAAAATCTTCAAAATACCGAATTTTGGGAGGTACCCTTATATGGGGGGCTATACGAAGACATGGACCTGCACAGACAATTTTCTGTCATAGACTGTAGTATTTACTACGAACTTCAAATACCAAATTTAAAAGAATTCCGGAGAAAAATATCGCTAAAATCATCAAAATACCGAATATCGGCAGGTACCCTTATATGGGGGCTATACGAAGACGTGGACCGGCACAGACAAATTTCTGTCTTAGGCTGTGGTATCCATTGCGAACTTCAAATACCAAATTTGAAACAATTTCGGTGAAAAATGTCGATAAAATCATAAAATTACCGAACATCGGGGAATATATGGAGGCTATACAAAGACTCGGACCGACACAGTCAATTTTCTGTCATAGGCTGTAGTATCCATTACGAACTTCAAATACCAAATTTGAAACAATTCCGGTGAAAAATATCGCTAAATTATCAAAATACCGAATATCGGGGAGCACCGTTATATGGGGGCTATACGAAGACGTGGACCTGCACCGACAATTTTCTGTCATAGGCTGTAGTATTCATTTCGAACCTTAAATACCAAATTTGAAACAATTCCGGTGAATAATATCGCTAAAATCATCAAAATACCGAATATCGGCAGGTACCCTTATATGGAGGCTATACGAAGACGTAGACCTGCACAGACAATTTTCTGTCATAGCCTGTAGTATCCACTGCGAACATCAAATACCAAATTTGAAACAATTCGGGTTAATAATGTCGCTAAAATCATAAAAATACCGAATATCGGGAGGTACCGTTATATGGGGGCTGTACCAAAACGTGGACCTACATGGCCAATTTTCAATACCAAAAGTCCTGCAGACATATTATACATTTGAGTAAAATTTTATCAATCTACTTCAATTCGTTCGGAAGCTAGAGTGATTTCCACAAACGGAGAGACGGATAGAAGGACAGATGGACGAACATCGCTAAATCGACATCGAATTTTATGCTGATCAAGAATATATATACCTTGTGGGATCTAAAATGTATATTTCGAGGTGTTACAAACGGAATGACAAACTTAATATACCCTCCATACAACAGGCAAAAGCAACTCAATTAAACCTCATTCTCGTTAAGAAAGGAACTGGAAAAAGGAACATCAACAGCACCAACAAGGACCACTCACAAAGTTCAAACTCATCGACAACACTTGATTGTACAATTATAAGTAGTAGCTGGACACGTGCCTGCCTGCCTGCCCCCTGCTTCCCTGGCACTTGTAATCCTGTAACAGTCTTCCATTAAAACTTAAAAGATGATGTTAATGAGAGGCCAAGACGACCAGGACGAGGAGAGGAGCGAGAGTGAGCAGACTTAGCGGAAACAATTAAACAGGTCACAATGAGCTTCGCTCACACCCACCTACCTGTAGCATACGGAGCAAATGTGTTCTAATTAAATAATTTTCAGATGAATTTCAGGATTTCTTATATGGAGAACAGGACACATGTGTCCTGCTGCTCCTGCACGAGCCATCAAAACTTATAAATAAATTCATAATTGGCTCATCAAATTTCATTTGAATGATTAATGAGGGTAAGTTATAGGCTGAGGATAATTCTTCGAAGCACAAATATATCACTTTCGATACCAGGAAATAAAATAGGAGTAAGAGAAAACATGGCAACAGGGCCAAATAAGAATATAATTTTAAAAGTAAGAAGCTCTGCATTTTTTCTAGGACCAAGTTAGGCCTAAACTTGAATTTGTAAAATAATATTTTTTCAAGCGAAACCTAAGCATAAGGGTGTGTTGTTAAGGCATGTTTTTTAAGGACCAACCGAGTTATAATCCTGGGGAGTTAAGTTTATTATTTAGGGTCCTACAAGGCCTTAGAGAAGAGTTTTTAAAATATGTTTTCATCAGAGTCTCAAACTTATAAATCCTAAGGACTATCAGCAACTAGCCCTGCATTTTTAGGACAAAAAAGGCCCAAACTTGAGTTATTTAAAATAAAATTTTTCTTAAGAGTGTGTTTTACAGGTATGTTTTTTAAGGACCAACCGAGCTCTAATCCTGGGGAGTTAAGCTTATTATTTACGGTCCTAAAAAGCCTTAGAGATGAGTTTTAAAAATATGTTTTCTGAGAGTCTCAAACTTATAGTCCTAATGCCTACCAGAGCTTTAAGCGTGGATTTGTAAAGAAGATTATTTTCCCAAAAGTTTTAGAGGTAAAGCTTCAATTTGAAGAATATTTTTTTCAAGGACCAAAGAATTTTTTTTCAAGGACCAAAAAAGTTTTACTCATGATTTTTTGGGATACAAACGGAATCTTAAGCGTGTATAAATAGTGTTTATTAATTATTTCAAAATCTACCCCAAAATAAATGCTTAAGGCTCTTGAGGTCCTTGAAAAATAATCCATAAAATGGTTTCTATTATGGTTTATTTTTTCAAGGACCTCAAAAGCCTTAAGCATTTATTTTGAGGAAGATTTTTTAGGCACCAAAACAGCCTTTAAGATTTTTCAAGAGTCAAAAGATCCTTAGGCGTGGATTTGTACGCATCCTTTTTAAGGCCATACGCATGGATTTTAAAGATTTTTTCAAAGACCAAAAATGACTTGATCCTGCATTAAAATAAAAAAAAAACAAATTTAAGGATCTTAAGACCCATGGGAGTGGAATAGTTTAAGATAAGAATTTTTCATGGACCTCAAGAGCCATAAGCATGGATTTAAAAAAAATGTTAAGGACCAAACATGACTTAATCCTGAACTGAAAAAAAAAACAATTTTAGGTTTGAGTTTTTTAAAATAATATTTTTTCAAGTGAAACCTGAGCATAAGGGTGTGTTGTCAAGGCATGTTTTTTAAGGATCAACCGAGCTGTAAGCCTGGAGAGTTAGGCTTATTATTTAGGGTCCTATAAAGCCTTAGAGATGAGTTTTTAAAATATGTTTTCATGAGAGCCTCAAAATTTATATTCCTAAGGCCTATCAGAGGTTTAAGGGTGGACTTGTAAAGAAGATTATTTTCCCAAAAATTTTAGAGGTATAAGCTTCAATTTGAAGAATATTTTTTTCAAGGACCAAAGCAATTTTTTTCAAGGACCAAAAAAGTTTTGCGCATGATTTTTCGGGATACAAACGGAACCTTAAGCGTGTATAAACAGTGTTTATTAATTATTTCAAAATCTACCTCAAAATAAATGCTTAAGGCTCTTGAGGTCCTTAAAAATAATCCATAAAATGGCTTCTATTATGGATTATTTTTCAAAGACCTCAAGAGTCTTATGCATTTATTAGAGGTAGAGGTAGGTTTTTTTAGGCATCTAAAGAGCCTTTAAGATTTTTCAAGAGTCAGAAGAGCTTAAAACATGGATTTGTACACATCTTTTTTAAGGACCCCAAGGGTCATAAGCATGGATTTTAAAGATTTTTTCATTTTTTTTTTGCATTAAAAATAAAAAAACAAATGTAAGGATCTTAAGACCCATGGGAGTGGAATAGTTTAAGATAAGATTTTTTCATGGACCAACACAACATAAGGCGTGAATTAAAATATGCATTTGAAATATGGCTTGCAAAGAATAAATTTCTAGCCACAACAGAGCCTAATCCATGGATTCTTTAAGGCAGGAAATGCAGAGCCTTGAGCGACGATTTTCAAAGATTCAAGGACAAAGGCAACTTGGATATTTTTTTAAGGATATTTTTATACCCTCCACCATACATAGTATGGAGGGTATATTAAGTTTGTCATACCGTTTGTAACACATCCAAATATATATTCTAGACCCCACAATGTATACATATTCTTGATCAGCATAAAATTCTATATCGATTTAGCGATGTCCGTCCGTCTATCCGTCTGTCAGTCTGTGAAAATCACACTAGCTTCCGAACGAAATGAAGTAGGTTGATAAAATTTTACTCAAATATATATTATGTCTGCTGGAGTTTTGGTATTGAAAATGTACCATGTAGGTCCACGTACTAATAATGGCCTCCATATAATGGTACCTCGCTATTATCGGTATTTTGATGATTTTTGCAACAATATTCATCGGAATAGTTTCAAATTTGGTACTTGAAGTTCGAAATGGATGTTACAGCCTAAGACAGAAAATTGTCTGTGCAGGTCCACATCATCGGACTATACCATATAACGGTACCTCCGGATATTCGGTTCTTTGTTGATTTTAGCGACATTATTCACCGAAATTGTTTCAAATTTAATATTTGAAGTTCGCTATGGATACTATAGCCTATGACAGAAAATTGTTTGTGCAGATCCACGTTTTGGTGTAGCTCCCATATAAAGGTACCTCCCTATATCCTGATTTTGATGATTTTAGATACATTATTGACCGATTTTTTTTCAAGTTTCGTATTTGAATATTTTTATGGCTTATGATAAAAGTTGTCTATGCAGGTCCACGCCGTCGTATAGACCCTAGAATAACGGTTTCATTCGATATTTTTAAGATTTTAACAGAATTTTTAACAGATTTTATTTTTATACCCTACACCACATAGTGGTAAGGGTATTATGTCTTTGTGCATTTGTTTGTAACATGGAGAAGGAAGCAAGATCTCCATGAGGATCTCCATAGAATCACTTTCTGAGTTGATTTATGCATGTCAGTCCGTCTGCCCGTCCGTCCGTCAGTCTGTCCATGTATTCTTGTGAACAAAATGCAGGTCGCATTCATTATGCGATTGAGATGAAATTTTGCACAAATCATTTGGTTGGCCCAAGGACGAACTCTATTGAAATTGGAGATAATCGGTAAAAATTTAGATATAGCTCCCATATATATCTTCGTCCGATTTGCCTTTTATTGTGCACCAAACGTGTAATATCGGCCCAAATAGTATGGAATTTTGCACATACAACCAAATTAGGTCTGAAAATAAGTATGCCAAATTTGATCGAAATCGGTTCAGATATAGCTATAGTTCCCATATATATTGTTCATCCGATTTGTTATTTTTGTCCTCCGCAGCCGTAATATGCACTTTGTAACAACAATATTTGGGGAAATATATCAAATGCAGCTCAGAAATACCTTTGCTGAATATTATCGAGATCGTTTCAGATTTGGATATAGCTCCCATATATAAGTTCGTCCGATTTACCTTTTATTGTTCACCAAACGTCTAAAATTTTCCCAAAATGAGATGGCACATGCGACCTAATTGAGTCTAGAAGCTAGTATGCCAAATTTGGTGAAGATCGGTTCAGATATAGCTATAGCTCCCATATATATTGTTCATCCGATTTGTTGTATTTGTTACCCACAGCCGTAATATGCACTCCGTAACAACGATATTCAGGGAAATATATCAAATACAGTTCAGAAATATTTTTGCCAAATTTTATCGAGATCGGTTCAGATTTGGATATAGCTCCCATATATATCTTTATCTGATTTCAAATTAGTTTTGCACCAAATGGGCAATACAAGTCCGAATTTAAAAGATACAAATGCTTCGGCATATTTAGTCCTTTGAACTTTAAATTACAGTTATAATCATGGCGTGTATGATTGAATTCTCCCATAAAAACTTTTAATTGTTATGCGGAGCTCTACTAAATAAGCAAAGTGGTGTAGGGTATCATAAAGTAGGCCCCGCCCGACTTTAGGACTTCCTTTACTGGTTTTTTTTGGGAAAATTTCCAAATTGATTCCAAATGGTGGAGGGTATTTAAAGATCGGCCCGACCCGACCTAGAACTTTTAGAACAATATTTATATTCTCAGCCGGATATAACTGTCTTAAACGTTTTTTTTTTTTGACCAAATCCGTTTCAGGAAATTTGGAGTCGATCTAGGTGTGTCGTTCAGGGATATATAGTCATTGGGGTAGTTTACTCACAGTGGTGTGAAAATTTTGAAAATCTTGGAGCTCATAATAGGTCATAAGTCTGAAAATACCTTACCTTGTTCTCAAAAAAGAAAATATCCGCAATTATTGAATTTGTGTTTTTTTTTTAAATCGAAGGCCCGAAAAGTAAGTTTTTTTTAAAAAAATCGAAGACTTTCTTTGTGAATCTTCTTCCAGCTACTGGTCAACCACTTGGTTGTACCTTTACAATTTCTCCTCATTTACTGTGCTTGGCATTAATTGAAAATACGTTTTTCTTGTTCCTGGCATCCATTATAGCCTTGTTCCTGTAAACAAAAGCATATATGAGGAACCTTCAGTGGTTTTTTTGTTGTTGTCTCGAAAATATGTTTCTTACCTGGAAAATATTTGCGAATACAATGGAGAGAACAAGTTTACGGGGTAATAAACGTA